AAAGCGCTGTGTAAATTGACGGCGCTATATAAGCACCTGAAATAAATAATAGCAGATTGCAAGGTGCTATACCAAGTCAAATTCAGGTACTTACAGTACTTGCATTTAAAAAATGTACGAAGTTTACCTTGAAATGCCCACGCTACATATAAATTGTCTTTATTTTCCACTGAAACACTTCTGTATTCTCCTACATGAAAATGAATAGATGTTCTTTGTGCAGTAAATAAAAATAAAAAAAAAAAGGAAAAGAAGACTCACTTGTCGGAGTAGTGCCTTAAAAGATAATGACCTTAATCTCATGGTTAAATTTTCTCCAGATATTCCAAAAGAGAAACCCTGAAAGAAAAATAACATTATTCTTGTTTATTGCAGTCTTTTCTGAAGTGTGTATGAAAAGTGTGTATAAAGGAAAGTGGGTTTAAAAATGAAAAAGTACATACCATGACGACATAAACAATTAGACTGATCACTCCCAGCGCAAGGAACATTAGAGACAGTAAAATAGTTTTATGACTTCTTTCCTCTGGATCAGTAATACTGAATGACTGTAATCAGAAAAAAAAATTAGCTTGTAGTGAAAAAGCTGTAATATAGCTTTTCGTATTACTTTGAGTTAGTAGTAACTTTTAGGACAAGTAAAAAAAAAAAAAATCTTACCCCAATAACTTTCCCAAAAATAATAGCAAAGGTGGGATATATACCACCAGAAACAGCTGCTGCGATGACTCCCATGACAATAAAACAATATTCGGGTTTGTTCAGTGCAAGAATTTTGCCTAAAGAGAAATTGGGAAGACGCTCCTCAACAACCTGAAATAAATATAATCATTTGGTGAAATAAAGATCAGTTTAATTAAGTTTTTTACATTGTAGCAATGGTCTATTTCCAGTTCCAAAATTGTCCCACCAATTTATTACACCACTATACCTAGCAATGACTATAGGCCAGCGACCTGCAGCTTGAATGTTGAGAGTATGAATCAAGTTTTCAATATTCACCCTGAACTTCTAATATACAACATATAAGCTTCTGCTGAGAAATACAAAAATATCCTTTTTTTGGTTTCCAAAACAATGAAAAAAAAATGGACCCCACCTTTCTTCTTTAATGGACCACATGCTATACACAGTGTTGAAGATACAGTATGTATATGTGAAAAAAAAAATTTTTTCAGGAGTTTCATAAAACATGAGGAGATCTTTTTTGCAATTTTTTTTCCATTTTAATTAAATTGAGGAAGGAAAAAATTAAGGTGGTGTAGGTAGTTTCCAAGAGTGAAATAGTATTTAAATGACTCATGAGGGTTATAAAAGCCTTGTTCAACTATCATGGACCTATTCTTTTGCCAAAAAACACAGCTTCTCAGAAGATTAATTTTGTTCACAGCAATAAAAAAACAAAGTGGAAAATAAAGTATAATAAAAAAAATGTAGGTGACAGTACACAAACAATCACATACAAAAAGAAAGAAGAAACACACACACACACACACACACAAACAGAAAATTAAATAAAATAAATGTTCATAAATACACCCAAAAGAACATCCTCTAAAAAGGAAAGAAAAAACTAAAGATCTTTTTTAAAGCTAAAACTCCAGCATGATGCTAAAAAAAAAAAAAAAATCATCACTTGTGGTTGCCATCTCCTGTATATTAATATATTATATCTAATGCCTATTTTGTCTAGGTGACATGTAATAGTTATTTACGTTATTCTTTGGTACCCAATGTCCCTGTCCCCCTCCCACCCCTGTTGGTTCCACAAAGCTGACCCATGATGAATTCCATTGTTGGGGCTAAAACACTGACTGCTGGTGCTGTGGTCCAAGGACCTGAAAGGCGCAGTTCCCAGTAATGAAACTTGTTGGTGGCTGCTGGGGGGGTTATTTAGATCCTGCTCATTAGTCTCGCTGTGCCTCAGTGTTTTTACCTCTGTGTATTATATTCACTGATCTGCTGCTCTTCAACTTGCTACCTCCCTGTACCCAGTGCCTTTGTACCTAATCCCAGATCCAGCCCCCATTCCTGACCTGCCACCTCCTGAATCTGCTATCTTTGCCTGTGCCTCCTTACCGGTTCTACCTGATTCTCTTAACTCTCTATAGCATAGTTTCCCTTTTCATGTGTGCTCACTGGGTTTTGCTTTGGCTGCTGTTGTATGTCACTTGTGTTGTGTTCTTAATAAATTGTATTATTTCACTTAGATTTAGCCTGGTTTTCTCCATACAGCTCCACATATACACCCATGAAGCCAAATCTCTGTTTCTGCAGTTACCCCCTTACGGATGTCATCCCATACAATGCAGGACCAGTGGCATCACTGGTCCTACATCAAAAATAGTGACATTAAGGGCCCATCCACATTACAGGGTGGAAATGGGATCAAGGAAGAGGGTCAGCTACTGTGTTACCAAGGAATAAGGTGTGTATTTCTTTTGTTTTTTTTTCCCGTTATGTTAAAAAAAAAAAAAAAAAAGTGTCCGTTTTGGCAGCACAGAAGTGATGGGGATAGGCAGAACGCTCATTTCATGTTATTACTGGTAAAGCATCTGCTAGTCTGTGGTCAAACAACATGGTAACAAAATAGTATGATTTTACCTCTTCTTTAGCTACATCTTTTTTTGACTTGGATTTTCTTTTTGTGGACCTTCTACTTGTTCTCCGGCTAGAATGTCTATGTAAGTTATCTTTGCCTATATTCTCAAGATTGCCATGGTTTTCAGAATCAGGAACAGCAACTGTATCATCTGCATTGATATCATAGTCAAACATTTGTTCTTCTTCCTCCTCATCATCTTCTTCCTCTGTTTCACTATTAACCTCATTTTCTTCATGTTTGTCATAACTCTGTGGTTCAAAGCAAATCAATGAATTGTTATTGCACATAACAGATTTTCAATTGTACTCTTACAATAAGTAAATTCTGCATTTGGGCCCATCGTACTGTGTAGAATATCTCAATATATTCAAAAGGCCGCACTGTGCTGTTGGAATCTGTCTACTTCATTTCTTCACACTTTCTTTATATATTGTAAAACAACGTGAATAAAAATATATCATATCAAGATCATTTAAACCTCTACATATTTAAATTAAAAGCGTGTATAAAATATGAAACCTGGATGGCCAATATGTATGTGTTCAATTCCAGGAACTAGAGAAAATCTACCCTTGCAATGGAGTTCCCTTGCAATGCTCATTGTGTCCAGGGGGTACAGAAACAGACATTGTTATTTCTGGCTCTGCCCTCTTCTTCCTGCAGCTCCAGTCTGAGTTGTCCCTAAGCGTCATTGCATACCATGCAGCATTATTAACCCTGCATTTTATGCGGTGGGGGCAAGTGTGTGCGACTGCAGCTGGATGTGCCTCAGAGAGAAGTGGCAACACTGGACAGACCCTGCTGTAAAATAGAATAAGGTAGGTATTTACTCCTAATTCCGGCACCAGTAGCACCACTACAAGGGTAGATTAGGTACTCCTAACTCCTTGGGATGGGCTTTAAGTATTTTTTTTTAATAATGGGAACGAATGTATCTTTAATGGAGGATATTGTGAACTTTAAAACATTTTAATTACAGTTAGCTGAATTCCATTTGGCTTTTGCATTGCTCTGGTGGAATATGCTGTCTACCTAAATACATTTTTTTTTTGTTTAAGGGATTTAATATGTTTTATCAATTAGGAAATAGGTAATACAGATGGGCACAATAGCCCTCAATATGGTGACTTAATAAAATTCTGTGATTAGGCTAATTTTAAGTGAAATCCATCAGTTAAAAGGAGCTTGATGGAAAGAGATCTGATTTTCAGGTTAATCAAATGTATGCAGTTTTCGTAAGTATAAAACTTTCACAAGTTGTATGATTAGAATAGGGAAAGATATTTTCTGATTTGTAGCTCCTTTTTTGCACTTTATACATTGTTCTTTGTGTTGGTAAATAAAGTCCATTATGTGCTACACACAAACTTACCTGCAACATTACAAGAGAATAGTAAACTCCTTGCTTTTTCATTAGATCTTCATGTGTTCCTTGTTCCACCACAGCACCATTGTGAAAGCCAGCAATGACATCAGCTGTACGGATGGTAGAGAGGCGATGTGCTATCACAATTGTGGTACGGCCTGCTCTAGCCTTAAAAAAACAATTAAAGAAGTAGGAATAAGTGAGCGCTGGAAATAACGTAATATAACAGCGGCTATGCACCAAAGGCACTATATAAGACCTTCAAGGAGACAGTAATATTAAGAGGGGGTGCAGCACTGGTAAAATTCACAGAAATGATAAAAAGTATAAAAACAATAAGTTCATATATAAATAAGCATAATACAGTGACACTGTGCAAATGTGTGTGCCACTAAATGTGTGGCTGGTATCGTGAAAGAGGTGTACTCAATCAACTTAAAAGGTAAGTCCAAGGTGACAAACTCCTCCAGTGCTCTGCTGAAGTCACAAGACTGTTTTAACTGCTGATGAGAAAAGCTCCTGTGGGAGCTGGCTATACTTGCAGAGCGGTCAACCCTGAGTGTGAGCCCTGAGTGTGAACCATCAGGCAGTGAATGATACATGACCAGATCTGACCAGACCTATATGAGGACATCTGATGTTTTTTGATATACAACACAAATGCGCATAAAGATTGCGTATCTGGTGAGTGCACAATCTATACCCTATTTTTCTCACCTTTTCCACGGTTTCAGTCATTGGACGTCTGAAGATCATCTGAGATCTCACTCACATTGTCACCTTGGACTTACCTTTAAGCTGATTGAGTACACCTCATTCACGATACCAGCCACACATTTAGTGGCACATTTGCAGTGTCACTGTATTATGCATATTTTTATATGAACTTATTGTTTTTATACTTTTATTTACAATTTCTGTGAATTTTACCAGCGCTGCACCCCCTCTTTATATTAAAAAAAACAATTGTCATCAATCGTTAACAAAATGTTGTTAAACAGGAGCATAAATAATTTATAATTAATCCAATCAACAGACTCTTATTACCTTGTCTAGAGCGTTCTGTACAATTCTTTCACTTTGTGTGTCCAGAGCTGATGTGGCTTCATCAAGCAGCAGAATTCTGGGGTTACGTGCAAGAGCTCGGGCAATAGCTATTCTCTGTTTCTGTCCTCCACTCAGTTGAGCTCCCCTCTCACCCACCATGGTGTCTAAACCCTAAAAAAAATGTTCATAAAATCAGCACATGGTTCTCAGAATTTTTAATGGTACATAATATGGCAAGGGTAGACAATACCACCATGCCTCAGCCTCTGGAAATCATGCATGTGGCTGTTAGTAACAATTGACCAAATATCTGCAGAGCCATCACACGTTCTCATTAGATTTACATGGAGCAGCATACACGTGGTTAACACTTTCTTCCTGATCAGCCAATGAATTTTTCCAATAGCTTGCCAGATATTCATGTGTGATAACCAACATTTCCAAAGGCAAAATCACAGTCATGGCTTCCAACATTTCCAAAAGCAAAATCACAGTCATGGCTTCCAGTGGTTTCAAATAGTTGATCTGATCCTCTACCAAGCCTTGTATCAATTAGCAGATTAGGGCAGGATTGGATTGTTTATGGTTTCTGGATATCTGCAGGTTATTGAAACATTAATCAAGAAAAAAAATCTCAATTTGCCTTAATATGGCAGATAATTTGCCCAGGTCTAAAGAATAGGGTTCACTGCCAAAAATGTATTAAGAGAAACGTTTTTAAAATAAAGAAAAATATTTTTCATATTCCTCCATTTTTGAGACACATTACTTTTATTCACTTCTGCTTGACCTGGGTCAGGGGCTGGGCTAAGCCTTCAAGGGTCACATGTCCTGGTGACATTGTTTCAGCCCTTTCAGGCCCTCCCCTTAGGGTCATGAAGAGCAGAATTGCCAGCTATCTGATCTGCCCCACAGGCGTTGCTCCATTTTTGGGGGGTTTACTGACACATAAAATCTCTAGGCAAAACATTTTCTTTTTGTTTTAGATAAAAGGAGAGGTTTAAAACCTCTGTTGTGTTTTTATTGCTGTCTTTGTCCCCACTCGAGTAGTTTTCCTTCAGTTCCTGTCCCAGTGGTAGAAGCTATTGTAAAGAGTTCCCAGGAATTAAATGGGAACTCTTTACAATAGGCATAAGGACAGCAACAAAAACACATTTTAAGTAGTGACTTAATGGCTTAGAAACTCAGTTAATGTTTAGATTACCCTAAAAATAAGATTCCAAATGTGTTGTATTATTCATACAGTTTCTATGCAACGTTGCCTGTAAAGTTTTTATTGGGTATATTTTTGCTAAATACCCAGTGATCCTGCAAGCTCCCCTTGGTTCTTCCTCCAAACTGACCATGACCTATTACTGAATCAAAACTATTTGATGTTTTATTGTTGGCTTTTATAGTACTGCCTTCATAAATACTTAAAGTGTTACTAAATCCACACTAGTAAAATCAGTCTGTATACGCAGTAAAGCATACTTGTTATACTCACTGTAGAACTTAAGGGGTTAAACCTCTGCATTACGTAAAAAGGATGTTTGATCCTGTCTTCTCTGATTCTCCCCTTCTTCCACATTCCCTATTTCATCTCCTGGTAGAACAGAGCCTCGGGGACACTCTAATATGCTCAGTTTGGTGTGTACTGCTAGAGAGTTATTTTCTTTTTCTTGGGGGGTGCATGTGATCAGTACAGAGCCAATCAGGGCTGTCCAGACAGAGGGTCAGGAGTTATGCAATCTCACAGGGCAGTGATAAGAATGAAAACTCATCCTACAAGCTTTAACCAGTGCTCTGCTGGACACTGATAGAAGTCACAAGACTGCTCTAACTGCTGATGAGAAAAGGTATTTAGCAGTTTATATTTACTAAAAATGATTGCATTTCCATGTTGTGTGTACTGTGGGAGTCCATATATAGTGAATGCAGGGTCCTGGGTTTAGTAACACTAAGTTTTCATACTTTTCAAACTTTGTGCCTCAGTGACTCCCATTCTTCCCATTTCTTGTCTTGGTATCGTTAGGATAAAACAGTGAGAAAAACTCTCCCTAACAGAGTAACAGACAGCAATAAAAAAAAAAATTGACAGAAGCTTTCCTATACGTTTTAAACAAAATAAATTACTTAGAGCAGTGTTTGTCTAATGAAAAATGATTGAAATGAACACATTTTCATATATTTATAAAGTTGAGATGTTTAGCAAATTGTTAGTATGTGTCAGACAGTTATTTATGTTATTAGCCATTTTAGTCTTTATGTTAAAAATGTTGACTACTTTGCCCTTTTACGTAATTTCAAATATATTCAGAGCTAATGATCTGAAACTTTTGCACAGATATATGTAAATGCTATCCTTAGTTCTTTAATAAAAAAACAACCTACATTTTAGGTTTATATTAAAATAGGTTCCCCTGATATTTTAGGCCTTTGAAATCTATTCTCCATCTGTATAAGCTATTCCTCACATATGCAGTTGTCTGATGTTACCCTTATCTGCTGGTGTGCTTGCATGACATGCAGGCAATCAATATGGACTTACATCTGGGAGTTTAGATATAAAATCATAGGCATTGGCTTCTTTAGTAGCTTGTATGATCTCAGCATCAGTGACATCTTCTCTTCCATAGCGGATGTTTTCTTTGATTGTTGTACCAAACAAAACAGGCTCTTGGCTAACAACTCCAATGTTTTCACGTAGCCACTTCACGTTGAGGGTGCGTATGTCATGCCCATCCACAGTCACCTAAAAAAAAAATAAACAATCACATATACATACATATATTTAGATCTCTATATATCTATCTATCTTCAGGCTGATGACTCACATGTATCTTTTTAAGATCCCAAGGCAACCAGTAAAACATTAATTAAATCTCCAGTATGACTTAAGAAATGATGCTAAAGTTAAAAAGTTCATTCAGTATTCTGAAGTTTGTATATACATCTTGCAGCTAGATGGAGGGCATTGGTGCCTTTGGCAGGGGTTGTGGCATCTTGTCAATCACACTATACTGTGGGACATTCCTTCCCAACATCTACAAGCAATCCTTCATGCAGCATAGGACTAATTATTTGTAAATTTGTGATTATGGTTGTGCATAACACTACAGAGAGGTCTTCATGGTCAGATTTGGGAATCCATGGCCTGCAAAACTGGAGTCTAGAACAAGGCATTCCCAAAACACCAAGTTACAAAAAAAGTGAAGATTTTAGATAAGCGTGGCCTGGTGTTCTAGGGAAGTCTTGAGATATCTATGCTTTTAAGTGATTGGATTGTATTAAAAACACACAAGTTTGCAACTTAAACCTCATAAGTCCATTTTTACATACCTCCCCTACAAAAGGGTCATAGAATCTCTGAAGAAGCTGAATTGTGGTGCTTTTTCCACAGCCGCTGGCCCCAACTAATGCAACAGTCTTTCCAGCGCCTATCTTAAGGTTCAAGCCCTTTAAAATCTATTACACAAAATAAACACATGCATAAATAAATGAATTATAGCTCTTTTCTAAAAACTTTTATGCATCTGTCTTCTAAAGTTATTTTATTAAGAAATAGTCTCAATTGGCAGAAAAAATTGTGGATTTCATGTGTTTTTCTGCCCTTGTAGCGTTTTGTCCTCCACTGAAATGCCCAATAATTGGCTTTGGTGATCATGACTATGATATTGTAAAGTAAGCACATACTTAAGCAGCAGATTTCAAGAATTGCATTGCAGAAATGCTTAGCAACATTTAAATAAAACAAAAAAAATGTAAAAAGCAAAATGCTTTAAAAGACACTAGGTATTTTCAAAGTGTTAATTTTTAATGCCAATGCAGACAAGTATTAATTGTCTTAACCAGTTATGGTGGCACAGGTTGTATGCTCAATGATCTCTAAGCATATATTTCCCTTGGTTCTGAAGCTAAAACAGAATGGAAGATGTAACACAAATGCACAAAACCTAATATTAGCAGAGTACTGAGTCATCATTGCATGATCTTAGTTGAGACACAACAGGTGAATGTACAGTAAATGTGCTATGGATTTTAATGGATTATAAATGCAGCTTATTGTTGATTTATGAACCAGACGTTCATCCTAAATGAAAACTTAAATGAAAAAAAAAAATCAGAAAATCACCAGTAAGTTTACATTGGATAATTTTTCAGCAACTTGGTGTTTGTTTATGTCGAGAATCTCTAATGTTTAAAAAAAAACTCATTTATGCACTGACTGCAACAGCTCAGTGAATTGTCCAAGCAAGCATATCTAGCAGTGGTTGGTCACATTCAACTGTACTTGTTCTGCAATGTTAGTTGCAAGCAGGCTGTTTGGTTTTAACAGGCTGAAAGCTATTGTGAATCAGTTGCTCACTCAGTGCTGGGACAAGGCCATCCAGTGCCCAGGGCAAAGATGCCAAACCGCTCTCCACTTCCAACTGTTCCTGATGTGCAATCTTAATGGACCCTGCGCCCAGCAGTCTCTTGCTTGTCAAAATCACTGCCACTAATCCGGTCGGCCTTATAACAGAAGGAAGGCACCCCCATACCTACAGTAAACCTATGGCATCCAGGACAGCCACCCTTCCCACCCACTCTTGTTCTGGCACTGTGTTTACTCTGTCATTGATTGATGCAAGACACCATTAACAAAGATGATGTAAGGTTAGATGTCAAACCTTAATACATTAACTTAAGGAACATAACACTTTCATAACTGAACAGATGGACACTCACTTGTGTATCTGGTCTGGTGGGGTAGGCAAACTGGATGTTCGTAAATTCAATATTCCCTATCAGTTTATCTGGTTTGTGCCCTTCGTTTGAACTGCTGTCTATTGGCCTGTGCTGGAAACAAAAATCACATGAAAAATATCAGGTTATAGAAGTAAAAAAGATTATTTTGTATTACAGAAAAATAATTCTTTATAACCATTAAATGTCAAAGGTATGTACAGGATTGATATATATGTTCATTATATTTTGTCTAGTGCTTAAAGATACTGTATGTCTTTTCGGGCAGTGAGTTTTAAACAAGAGCAACAGCATTTTCCCAATCATATTCCAGTTGTGCTATGAAAGAGGTCTACATGGCAGGAAGATCAGGTTATGCAGACTGTAGAGAGAACCAAAGAGGAGAGATACGCACCTTCCCTTTCTCTTAGCAGACATAGAACTATCTGGCTTAGTCAGTTATAAACACTTCCAAACACATAGACTATACTGGGTTATCCAATGAGAAATCCCAGTGTGCTTTGCAAACTGAGTATCATGGATGCAACCTGTATTAAATTTATAATTTACAAAATAAAGAATTTATTAAAATGATTTAAAACTATATATTGAATAGTTGTAGTACTCAATTAGTAATAAACTTGCCTAGGTAATTTCTGTACTTAATGAAAATGTTCTTAGCCTGCACATGTAAAACTATTTAAGATGCCAAATCTAAGGACTAGAAATATATAATTTATTTTTGTTTTTTAGAATATATACACTTAGAAATAGCAAAGAAATAGTTTAAGTGTATTCCGCAATTTTCTGTAGTAATTCGAATACACCACTAGTAGATGACAGCAATTGCTTGCTACAGGTTATTGCACTTAGCGCTTACTGAATAAAGTCGTACAGGGTAAAGCAAATTAGGCAAACAAAGGCAAATTGCAGTAACCCATTCGCATCCAAATCAGAATTCATCTGACTGATGTAACCATACATCTGATGGCGTGTTAAAGGCTAGAGACTTGTGCACTTTAAACAGCTTTTGGATGATCCATTCTTTTCCTAATTAGCATGTTGCCATATTAATATGTCAGGCTGCTATGCATAGTGTTTGCTGCTAGGCTAACAGTGACATCTTTATATCAAAATTTAAATATGCAATAATTGGGATCAGGGTTGTATCAGGAAAGATAAACAGTTTATTCAAGGACATAAACCAGTTTGTCAACAGAAGGACGTGAACATATGTTTGGCTCAGTATATTTTCTTAGTAACAGTCTCTTGCCTTCTGAAGCTCAGTGCTATTTTATAAATACTAAATAAACCTTACAGTGGCTCACACAGTGTTATTTCACTGTTTTTTTTTAGGTTTACAGGCTTTTGATGATTGGAAGGAGCACATGCAATTCTTATTGCAGTGAACTATACTTAATTCATGGAGAACATTCCTTGAAATATGGCTGGAAGAACTTTAAACCTCAATAGTACAGTATGTTAAAATTAGGAGATAATGAAGTTTTTGCATTAAAATTGAAAAAAAAAAAAAAAAACTTAGTACAAAATTACAAATTTTGCCCATGGCAAGCTATTACAGTTCATATTTTTCATAAAATGAAAGGTGAAACCTAATAGGCTCCTAGTGGCAATAGAACATTCTTGTATCAATGTTATTTTCTCCACTTTTAATGCATCATTTCCAGTGTCTGTTTCTTCCCCACTTTTAAGCAACATACAGGTTGTTTTAAGAAACAGATTAAAAAATACATTGGTGGACAACCTTAATTTCACTTTTCTTCTGGTTTTTGAGCCCCTCAATGTCTGTCACTCTCTCTAGATGGGCTACGGTGGTAAGGTTTAGCACTAACGTCAGAGACATCAGGCCCCTTGTTAAAGTGAAGCATGTTTCATAAATGCACACAGAGGACGTTTTCTGGCTGGTAAAGGTAAGAGCAGTCACCTTGAGATATTTTCTCTTAGATAGGACTTCCAAGAGACTGAATTATGCACTGTGCGCATTCTTATTGGGGTTTGAAAAAAATCATTACCCAGAAGGCTTGGGGAGTTTTAGTATTTGTTATAGTGCTTAGGTTTTCAGTATGATTGCTGCATGTTTAGCCTATGACCAAAGCCCAATTAAACTAGTGCCATGCATTTGTAATGTAGGAGAAGACCAGAACTGGCTAAAGGCTGCAACACAAACAGGCACAAACAGGAAGGGAATGGCATGCAGACTGGCATGAAAATTGAATGCAGATAGAGACTCTGGTCAGTATCAATCAAGGCTTCTGGACTCTTCAAGCAAAAAACACCTACAAATTTACCTTATTGATGATGCGGTACACTTCATAGGCAGCTCCACGTGCATTAGCTATGCTCTCTAGATTTGGTGCAGCTTGACCAAGGGAAAAAGTCCCAATGAGCACAGAAAAAAACACCTGTTAAAAAATGCAATTTTAGGCTCTTTAGCTCTTTGTGTATATTTTCACTTGACAATTTGTTACATATTTTTTCATCTTAAAAGACATCCTATAATTACAATTCTATATATATATATATATATATATATATATATATATATTTTCATTCATCTAAAGCACCTTTTTATGATATATTAGGCACCCCTAGGGTTGCCTGCACATGGCTTTAGTATAGGCATATATCAAAATGTCTGGCCTGCTAACTCCTGGGTCTGTTATTGTGATGGACAGGTGCACTAACCAGCTGTAATGTAAAGAGCATGTTTGCATATTACTGATCATGGGTCTCAAAGCAATCTACAAGATAACAGACTCTTAACGGCATCTACTCTGCCATTCAAGAGGTGGTTTACTACAGTTTCAGAGAATGCAAGTTTGTTTTAAGCTTGTAGCTGGCCATTTCAAAAGACATCTGAAATCCAACTTTCCTGAGCTATGCTTGGTAATCATGCAAAGGAAAGTACAAAGAATCTCAGTATGAAAATATTTACTCAGATGAGTTGCCCTAAGTTTAGCAAAACATCCAAGTACATGTGCACACAGGTATACTGCCTCTTAAATCGGCCATCGACATCCACCTGGACCCTATGACTTTTCTTGAGGTGTCCCTGCCCATTCTATGTACTTCTAAGGTGGCCATTACAAAAGCAAGTAAAGTCACTTCACATTGCCTATTGCATTCTCCATAATGTAAAAAAAAAATGGAAATTGAGACTTTGGAGGCAGAAACACTTTGATAAAGGCCATGGTAGATGGGGCAGTTCAGGGGATCGAATTACAGGATTTCCTGAAAGATGATACATTGCTCAGAGATTTAGCAAAATTGCATCTACCAAAATTAGGAATGTACATTTAGGTTGGAGTAGTTTTTTCGCAGTAGTAACCGGTAAACAAACTTACAATTAACACTCTTCCAATGGTGTATGTTTTAGGTTCATCTACTGTTAATTTGGTCCCGTACCAGAAAGCTAAGGCATAAGCTCCAAAAATGAAAAACTGAGTAATCCCCATGGATGTATTTGTTGTAACAGACTTTTTCATGCCCATTTTTTTTGCTTCATGCAAGTTGGCATTGTACCTGCAGGAGATAATTGATTGTTGGTTAATAACAGTTTATTAACATAAATTATGAAACAAAATTAGAAGCTTTAAGAATTGAAATCCTAATATTTGGAAATGGTGGATTGGAATTTTCTAATGGACTAATACCTACAG